CGGCCCAGGGGCTTGTGGCCGCGCTGCCGGCTGTTTCAGGGTCTGGCTGGAATAGGCGCCAAGCGATGGGCAATGTCAGTGCTGCACGAGGAGACCCATCGCTCGTGGGTTGCAAAGGACACTGCGCGTGGTGTCAGCCCCTCGTGAACGTGCCTCGGGCGGTGGCTGGAGCTGGATGTTAGTGGGTTTGAAGTGGGGGCGCTCCCTGAATACCATACGGGGAGTTCGGCAGCTTGGGAGCAGCCTTGTGCCAGCAGCAGGCCAGGCTGGGGAGGCCCGGGTGCAAGGATTTTCGGGGAGAAGCCCTACAGGGATCTCTCTCCCGTCTGTCTTCCTGGGTCTGTTCTGGGTTCCTAAATATATTTCCTGGAAAAATGGTGATGTCAGGGAACAGGATGGTCAGCCAAGGTGTCATCAAGAACAGCACAGAGAGCACAGAAAAGTGGCCATCTCCAGGAACTTGTTCAGAATTCATTTTCTATTGAGTCATCAGTGGATTTTAAAAATTGCAGAAGGAGAAATGTCTGTGCTGGCAGGGGCTGAGCAGGGTGGGTGTCCTCCAGCAGAGGACAGCAGTGCACGCGGATCCTGCCGGATCGCTGCTCGGCGTGTGGAAATCCAGTACAACTTGGTTGTGGATGCCTGGATGGGAGAATGGTTTTGTCGTTGCTTTGTTATATAATAAACATTTTAAGACATGTTTGCTCCCGTTAAGAGTTCTCGTGTGCAGAATGCTGCCAAAAATGCAGCCTGGAGTGAAAATTGACAGCCAGGTCTATGATGCATTGTTCAGCAATGGAAAATAAAGCTGACTTTGCCCAAAAGTTGTGGTCCAACACTCCCTGCCTGCCTGAAGCATGGGTCACGTGATGCTTAATGCACAAATTTAATCGTGTGCATTCAGAAAGGAAGGCTCCTCATTAAAGATTTTGGACTAAACATGGTTGCAAGGGTGAAAAGACAAGTCCTCACGTCAGATATATAAATACGTATTTCTAGCAGGCTGATATGGCCAAATCCCCCCAGGTTTGAACACGTTCATTAGAAGTGCAGTGGGTGCTGGGGACAGGCACACGGTTGGTTGATTGTTCTCAGCCTTATCTGCGATTTTGTCTCTTCTCAGGGAGAAGATGAAGCTGTTATCCTCAAATCTTGCACACGGCGGAAAACCGACTCAATTGAGAAGAGGTTTTGCTTTGATGTGGAAGCTGTCGATCGGTGAGTGCCAAGGGGCGTCGCAGCCCGGGTCGCCAAAAGGATGCACACACCGGGGTTTACGCTAGCCGTGCATAGGGAAAGGTTGCACTCATCTGTACTTGGCTTTCCTGGGTAGTTCTTGTGCAGTTTCCATGTTTCTCCTGTCCTTTAGTCATACCCTCTGTGAATAGAAAGTGTTAGTCCATGGAAATGCACTCTCCCTGGTGCTTCTAGCCAGGTGCTCTCCGTATATTGAGTTAGTGCTTCGGTTTACAAGGTGCCGAGTTTACTCAAGTCTCTCAAACTTTAATGGTGTTTTAGCACTTCTGCAGTCTCTGGCCATGTAAGGTAAATGGTTGCGAGTATGGAAAAGATGCTCTGTGGGTGTTTTGGCAGGGATATGATGCCTCTTTCCAGCACTGGGTATGTGTTGGAATAACTTCAGCTTTTGTGCTGGAGAGTGGCTGTTGCTGGTCCGCTATGGATGGGCGATAATGGAAGTCCGGCTTGCACCTCCAGGCACTTCACATTCACTTCTTTTTCCTGAAGGAGTAAAATGCTTTCTGATGTGATTTATCACCTAGCAGCTGAACCAGATGTATGTGTGGATTCAATCTATAGCACCTAGGAATGAAAGCCTGTTATCATATCTAATTAGCATCATGCATGGCTTACATATATAAACAGGAAAACCAGGCTGGGGTTGCTATTCCAAGTGGTATTAGTCACTGCCTCCTATCTTCCTCGCTGCAGGAAGTTTATATGGTTTAGAAAAGCTCGCTCCAAAGTCACTGAATGTCTGTGCCCTCCCAGTTGTGTGCCTGTTCATGTTCCAGCTGTCCTCCCCTCCGCTGGCCACTGCGGGAATGCCCAGGAGGTCTTGGGAAAACCCGAGTTCATCAAAACCCAAGGTGTTGAATAACGCTGGAATACCTCGCGGTACCTTTCCCTGCCCAGCCTGGGCTTCCGCAGCGTTTCGGTGCCAGCCCCTCTCGCTGCCAGCCCAGGGCAGGGAGGGGTTGGGGTGATGGAGCTCTGCCTGTGTTGGCTCAGGGATAGGATAACCCTGGGGCTGCCTCCTGCTCTCTGTAACTATGCTTTCCTCCAGAAAGCTGGAGTATTTCTGCTGACGTGTGGTTTTTTTTTTCCCTATGCCCTGAGGATTTTTTTTTTTAAATGTGAAAATCAAAATAAAACTGGGAGGAGGAGAAGCCAGCCACCACAATAGTTTTCTTCTGCAGCATGTTCAGAGGCAGCTGAACCTTCCCTTGATGTCTGGAGCCTGCTAGGCATGGGATCAAGAGCTACTCCAGAAATATGCCTGCTAAATGTAAATAATGGCAGGGGAGTGGCAAAGGCGGGGAAACCTGAGAAATTGCTCATTT